CTTCACCGTCCCTGTGGACCACTCCGTCTTTGAGGGGTCATTTCTTCACCCCCCTCACCTGTGTACTCCCTCCTGACCCCTGCAGTCTTGTGTTTGGTTTCCCCGGCATGCATGTTCCAGTCCAGGCAAGTCCCATCCAGCTGTGTGCAGTGGGAGGTCAGGAGCAGGATCTACTTACCTGGTGTCCTTAAAATTGTTGAAACACAAGTAGATGTGTCCATCTCCACCTTCCCGTCAAGGGATGGACTTGATGTAGAAATGGTGACACCAAGGGTCACAGTGGAGCTCTTTGCATCAAAGACAATCTGCTGTGTGCACATACCTGTGCTCTGGCACACATGCACACCTGTGTTTTCATATAGAGTGTGAGTCACTACATCAGACACTTCTGAATGAGAAGGCATTCTTACTGTGTCCAGGCTTCCAAACCACCTCTGTCATTAAAACACTTTGAAAAGTCAATACGGGTTGAAGGCTTGATTTTATAGCTTTGGAGACTGAAAACAGGTGTTTCTGTGGCAGCCAGGGGATCTCCCAGGGCCAGCATCTCTGCTCTATCTACTGAGACCCTTTAACAAAGCCTCTGATGGCTCTGGGAAGTATCTGAAGGTTTGTGGCTTTGTCATCATTCCAAGAGGAGACTGTGAAGTGTCTGATAGAACAGGGCACCCTGTGTGCCTCTGAGGGGGTCATTTGCCTTTCCAGACCATGGCTATGTACACATACACACAGCTCATTCCCACAAAAAGATGGGAAGCTGAGAAGGTTGACTAATGAATGGAATAACATGTCAGTGGGTTTGCATCTCCTTGTGATCTCCTGAGGCAAGGCTCTGCGTGTTTTAGGGTTCCTCACCATGCACACAGCCCCCACACCCAGTCCCTGTGTTCATGTGCCTAAACCAGAAATATAAGGGGAGAGGGCAAAAAGGCTGCCAGAAAAGACAGCTGTGTGCCAGGTGAATATAACAGTGATCACTTATATTGCAGCCTCTGCCTGCATCAACATATGAGTAAATTGCGACTCTCAAAATGTCAGGAGCACCAAAAGTACGTCATTGGCACACTCCTCGCCTGGGACAGCTCTTGAAAGTGTCCATAATGAGCTTCCCCATGGAAGATGCATATTGAAGGATGGTCTCCTGTGCAGTTCCGTGTGAGCACAGACTTGCACGGGGCCTTGGTGCTTGCATAGCAGCCTTGTCACTTGAGACATCCTCCTAGAAGGGCAGCAGGCTTTTCAGAATGTCATATTCTGAAGTCAGTACAGTGATGGATGCATGCCTATAATCCCAGCATTTGGGTTGGAGAGGCAGGATGATAAGTAGTTTAAAGTCATCCTTGGCTACAAAGTGAGTTGACTAGCCTAGGGTATATGAGATCATGTCTCAGAAAACAAAATAGAACTTAGCTGCCCGTAGTGAGACCTCATCTCAAACAGCTCCCCTTGCTTTTTACTCTAATTGAAGATAGAATTGAGTCCGTAAGTCCAAGGAACATTAATTACTATGACCTATTAGAAATTTAGAGTGAGAAGATAAACATTTGGAGTGTTTTATATAAAAAATAACTTCTTAAATGATTCAAGTTATTGGCTGTATCTCATTACTCTGGTGGTTCTCTGAAGCTGGGTCACTAGCATCCACATCCTGCCAGGCCTGGCTTTGGTGTACATCAGTATTTTGAACCAGGCCCTCATCCCTGCTGGAGAGTGAACATGAGGAAGTCCTTCGCCTGAGGACCCACGATGCTCTGGGAGTGTGATGCTCTGAAGGAGGAAAGACACCGTACCCACATCGTGCGTGTAAATGCGCTTTTGTAGCCCTGTGCTGGGAAGCAGAGAACCATTAGAATTCCAACAGAACAGCTCCCACAGGCACGCAGAGCTCTCAGCCTCCCCGAAGCTTACAGTGACCACTCATGTCTGTCAAAGGGTCAGTGTCACTCCAGAGTCTGGTATGGAGCAGGCCTAGGAGGACTGTACATGTGTGGGAGGATGTCACACAGCCCCAACGCCCTGGGATCTTAGTCCTGGTTGAACTAGCTGTCTGAATAGGCGATATACTCCAGTATTGAGGATATGCTGTCTACTTCCTAGGTCCTCTAGGGTTAAGCCTAGAAAATGAGAAGAAATGCTTGGGAGCCCCCTCTCCCTGTTAGTGAACCAGCCCTGCAGGCAGCCCCTTGAGGGAAGGCTCCTGCCAGGCTCTGGAAAGTTCTCCCTCTAGAAAGGGAGTTGCAAATTTTATGCCTCCTTAACATCTCCACAGACTAAAGGGTGGCGACATCTCTAAAAGTTGTAACATTAGCTAGACCTAGTAGTGGACCTGGAATCCTAGGTCCTTGGAGTGTGAGGCAGGGTTACAAGTACAAGGCATACTTAAGCTAGCCAACTTAGTTGGATTCTGTCAGAGTAAAAAGAACAGAGTGCTTGTCTAGAGCATGTGAGGCCCTGGGCTCAATCCCCACTACTGAGGGGAAAACAACTTTCCAATAACCCCAAAATGTCAGGAGCACCGACCAAAAGTCTTGATTGGCACTAGGCTCACAGCAAGAAGACTGACTACCCTGCCTCAAGTTCTTGGACTTGGAGGAGTTGCACAGGAAGTCCTCAGGTCACGACTTCCTCCTGTCTCAGCCTTTAGGCATCTCTATGTCTAATGTGAGTACCACATGTAGGGACCTGCAGCCTGTTAGAGCAGCGGACCTCTCAAGAACTGCTGTCTCCTTTGGCTCCTCACTACCCTCCATATGCTTGGTATGAGGTTTTTCCAGTGAGTACTGCATTTCAGCTCTTGGTGTGCTCTGTGGACATCCTTCTTAGACTGTCCTCAGAGCCAACTACACTGACCAGATGTGCAGGAAAGCAACAGTCTACAGCAGACAGTGGTATCTGCCATTCATTCTGGCCTGGCCCCTGACCTCAGCCTGTTTTGCGTCCTCATCTCTCATCATGCCTATGCATGGCCCTTTACCAACAACCTCCCACCACACATAGAAATAAATGTCAGGCAAGAAAATACACTTGAGAAGTGTTTATTTTTATGACTGTCATTTATATTAGCAGAATCAGTCACTTCTGGGGTTTGTTTTGAGGATTGTGCACAGATCTGTGAGGATACAAATGTTAACTTTTGGGTCTGAGTGGAGATTCTTTGGAAATGGCTTGTGGTTGACATTTATTTTACCACTGGACAATTTTTCACTGTCTCGGGGCTCTGATTTTTCTGGAAAGAGCTACAGACAAGTCCTCATACCCAAGTGGAGTAGGTGTTTGGACTAGATATTCTGTAGAACTGCTAGCAAATTGATTGTCTTAAAATGGCTTGTCCTGGTGGAGAGGGCATTAGAGGGTGGCATGTCAGGTTCAGACTTCTGAGCTGTAGCAGCTCTGCTTAATTATCCTCTCTCCTGGAGACTAGAGGTTGCTGTCAGAAGCCATAAAACAGCTGGGGTGGGGGTCAGCCTGGCTACTTGGGAGGGAGCCCAGAAGTTTATCCAGTGTCATAGCTCTGTTGATTGAGGGACAGATGGTCCTCCAGAATTGATGTGCTTGGAATTCGCCAGCTGTGCAGGGCAGGTGGCACCACTGCCACAGGTGCTCGCCACAACACCTGACTGTTAGGGCACATCATGCCTGCTACCTCCAGTCTGACCCCAAGGAGCAAGCACCAGAAGGTGGAGCTGCCCAGGGCTCACGTTTGCTTAGTGGGGTCTCTTCTCAAGAGGTGTAACATCATGAGTTCCAACAAGTTCATAATGCTGTATGGCCACATGTTGCCAAAACCCACTGGAGAAACCATGTACAGGCTTCTTCAGCCCTGACCACCCCAGCCTGGCTTTGTCCCCAAGATTCTGCCCTTCCTTTCAGTCTGGCTGTTTTCATTTTGAACAGTGCATCTTTGAAAGTCACTGTGGGCGTGTGTGAGCTGGAGTTTGTTTCTTTCTGTTACTAAGCACTGGAGTGTCACCTTTTGTCCACTCACCAGCTGATAGATACTTAGGCTGCCTCAGATTGGGGGCAGTTGTGAAGAAAATCACTAGATATGTGTACACAGGTTTTTCTGTGGACATCTTTCTTTCTGCTTTGTTTGTTACAGTTTCACCTCCTGAGTTCAACTTTGGGTGCCATGCATGTGGTTTTTGAGACAGTGCCTCTCGGGGACCTGAAGTGCATGATTAGGCTAGACTAGCTAGCTGATCAGTGAGCTACGGGAATTCACCTGCCTCTGCCTCCTCGGCACTAGGACTGCGAGCACATGCTGTGCCTGGCTTTTTATGTGGGTGCTGGAGCTCAAACTCAGGGCCTTGTGGCAAGTACTTTAACAGTGGAGATACCTATCTAGACCTTCTTTTTTGAGGCCAGGTCTCGTGTAGCTTGAAACTACTACCCCCAGCTTCCTCCGGCCTGGGATTACAGGTGTGAGTCACTACACCTAGCCTATCAGCTTGCATTTCTCTTAGATAAATGCCTAAGAAATACTAGCTGGGTTACATGGAAATAGTACACTTCATTCAAACAAACAAACAAATGAAAATATTGTCACCTCATCAGAAATGGACCACAGATGACATGAAACTAGGAAGTGCTCAGCACTGTCATTGAGCATTAGGGAATTGCAGCCTAGAACAAGGAAGCACCATGTCCTCTGTTGACACATGGTAAAGATGGACACGGAGCACTGGCAGGGACTTAGAAAACTAGACACACCTTTTATCCCAGCACTCGGGAGGCAGAGGTAGCCGATCTCTTGAGTTTGAGGCCAGCCTGGGCTACAGAGCAAGTTTCCAGAGAGCCAGAGCTGCTGCACAGAGAAACCCAGTCTTCGAAGGGAAAGAAAGACTGAACGTGCTGTGCTAGTGGTGCTGCACATCCGTCACCCCAGCTTGGAGGGGAAGGCAGGAAGGTCTTGGGTTCAAGGCCAGTCTAATGACACATTGAGACCCTGCCTCAAAAAACAAAAACAAAACCCAACTAAATAACACCCTACTGCAACAACCCAGCAACCAGACTTTTGTATTTACCTAACAGAGAGCATTGTGTCCATACGAGCTTGCACACAGATGTTTACAGTAGCTGTAATCATAATGACAGGTACTTGGAAGAAACCATGAACTCCTTCAGCAAGCAAGCAGAGGTACATCCAGGCCATCGAATGTTAGTGTTAGAAAGGAGACCTCAAGCCCTAAAATGACATGGGGAGGACCAGTGAGATGACTCAGTGGGTAAAGGCACATGCACCCTGACCTAGTGACCCGAGTTCCATACCCAGGATTCACATAGTGGAAGAAGAGACCAACTCCTGAACGTCTGAAAGTTGCTCCCTGACCTCCACACACAGGTCTTGGCACAGTCACACCATTGAAAGGCTGGGTGGCTGGAGGATCGGCTCAGTAGACAAAGATTTGGTTCCCAGCACCTTCATAGCAGCTCACAAGAACCGATAACTGTAGTTCAGAGGATCAGACACCTTCTCTGTTCACTGTAGGCACCAGACTCAAACATGGTGCACCTACACACATCAGGCAAAGCTCCATACACATTAAAAAAATCTTTTTTTTTTTTTTAAGTCAGAAAAAATGCCAGGCAGTGGTGGCACACGCCTGTAATCCCAGCACTCGGGAGGCAGAGGCAGGCAGATCTCTGTGAGTTCAAGGCCAGCCTGGACTACAGAGCAAAGCAAGTTCCAGGACAGCCAGGGCTACACAGAGAAACCCTATCTTGAAAAAAACCAAAAGAAAAAAAATCATTAAAAAAAAAAAAACTTAGGGAAACTTAATTGTCGTTATTGAGAGAAGTTCCTTTAAAAGGCCACAGTGTGCTATCACAACAGGATGCTTTGGGAAAGCAGGAGAGGAGGGTTTGGGGTGCAGGTGAACTGTGAGTTCTGGTGCTGTTACAGTGTGTGTGTGTCAGGATTAAATGGGAACATGCCAGGCACAGTAGAATACCTATAACCCCAGAAACATCCAGGAAGCTTACAAAGGAAGAGGAAGATTGTGGAGACGTATACATGGACTATACAATGTTGGTATGGTTTAACTGTACCCATGTGATGGCATTACAAGGCAGGCCCTGTAAGAGGTGAGGAGGCCATGAGGGTGCTTCCCTCATGCATGGGACTAAGCCCTTATGAAAAGAGGTGTCCAGCCATAGTCCTGTAGCCTGCCCTGGCATCTTTTACTATGTGAAAACACAACATTTGTTCCCACTGAGACACAGCCCTACTAGACACCGAAACTGCTCTGCTCTGACCTTGGTTTTCTGCTGGGAAACCAAACAGTGTTTATTTAGAGGTGCACAGCATCACCTGCTGAGTCCCTGTGTGCACTTCTAAGATTTGAGTTGTAGGGAAAAGTTTACTGGTTACAACAGACCTGCCTCTGGAAGGTGCAGCCTGGGAGGCAGGGGTGTAGGGGGCAGGGTAGTGTGAACTGTCTGTACTTTCTGCTCAGTTCTCTTATGAACCTAAAATTATTCTGAAGAATTAAGTCTATTAATAAAACAAATGGAAAAAAGTCACACCTGCCAAAGTCAGCTCCCAGTGGCTCTGCCATTTTGTATTCCTAGTACTAAAGACCCCCAGCCCTTGGCCCTCACCTGTTCTCAAAGGTGAGTTTTCATCGATATTTCTTTGCAAGTATGGACATGGACATCCTTTCAGATGCCTTTGCCTCTGGAAAAACTCTCCCTCCCCAGGCAACGCTAGCCAGCCATGCCTGTGCCTTTGCTGCACTTCAGGGCTGTGAGCCCCACTCCCTCTCCCACTAGAGGCTCACAGGGCGTCTGGGCCGTTTTGGACAGTGGGGCTTTTGTTGTTGTTGTTTAAAAATGCTGGGGATCACTCAGCCACTGGGCCACATCCCCAGCTCAGGGCTTGTTCTTTTTCCGCAGGACTGCTAGAGCTGTCTTCCCTTGTGGAAGCTGAAGACTACACAGAAACCATCCCTGATGTAGTCCACACAGGTCAGGCCAAGGTGGCCACTGCAGCCTACCCGGTGTTTCTCCCAGTGTCCTCTTGGACTTTTACATGGATTCTATTACAGGTTTGCATGTTCCAGGGGCCATAGTTGTGAGCTGCAGTGGCTGTGGGGACCAGCATCTTTGCAGGCTACCTGCATGCCTTCTCACCAACAGTCTCCACAGTAGCTGGGAAAATGTGCTTCCCACTGCAGAATGCTTATGTGTGGAAAGCATGGCAGATGCCATTCCAAGTGTGTCTGTGCAGAACTGCATTCTTTCTGAGCCAACCCAAGGCTCCTGGCTCATGAGAAAAGATACTGGATCCAATGTCCTCAGCATTCATGACCTGGGAGAAGCCCAAATCTCCTGGTTTTGAAAATGCGGGTTCCTTGTGACCTCCAGTGGCAGCTTTGACGTATGGATTTGAATTAGTGACACTGATTTGCTGCCACTTGCCTGGAAGCCAGGTTAGATCTTCTTCTGTTTCCCTTTTCCTGTCTCATGGCCCACTGGGCTGTAGTGTCAGCAAAGCTGTGTTTACCTCACTCCACCATTTTGGCCACTGGAAACTTAGATTCTTAGAAATGATGAGATCTGCCTCAAGGTGTATGGTGGCACAGCACCACACAAAAGACTTATCAGCTCCAAGTAAGTTTTGTTCATGTGGGCTTTAAACAGCACTGGCTGCTCTTCCAGAGGACCCAGTAAGGTTCCCAGCACTCACGGAGTGGCTCACAACTGTTTGGAACTCTAGTTCTTGAGGCACAGGCACCTGGCATGGAAGTGGTTTACACATACATGTGGGCAAAACACCCATATACATAAGATAACTACGAAATAGAGCCGGAAATGTGACGGGGAGGGGGGGAAGGGGGGGTGATGAGGCACTGCCAGGAACACACAGGCCCTGGAGGAGGGCATCAGAGCCCATGGAACTGGAGTTACAGACAGCTGTGAGTGCTAGAAATCGAACCCAGGCCTCTGGAAGAGTAGCCAGTGCTTTAAACCACAGAACCATTTCTCCAGCCCTGATTAAATCTTTTAAGTTGATCTTGAACACTTGGAAGTTTTCCTGCCTCAGCCTTTTGAGGACTGGGGTTACAGGCATGAGCTGCCACACCTGGTTAAATTGTAGCATTTTTTTGGTAGTAAAAAGGTAGAAACTGGGCCAGTGAGATGATCAACAGGTAAAACTTCGCTAGGCAAGCCTGACAACCCAAGTTTGCTCACAGGAACCTCGGGTGGAAAGTTGTGCTTAGACCTCCACAGGATGGATTCCAACAGAAAGATGGCAGATGCAAAGGGGTTGAACTTAATGCATCAGAATGCCTGACAGGAATTAAAATGAGTGAACCACTATGGCAGCATAAATGTACCTTAAAGGCAGGTCTCCCTCTGGCTCAGGCTGGCCTGGAACACATTTGTGCCAGCGTCCAACAAGTATCGTTAAGTGAGAAAAGTACTTGTCACCTTTCTTTCAGAAAAAGCTAAAGACCCCACACGTTCCACACATACACTTATGTAAATTGTGAAGTATGCTGTGGGAAGCCAGAGACTCAGGGATGGAGGATAGGCCTGGGGGCTACCAAGTAGGAACTACTGCTCACTTCCTCAAAACTGTCAAAGATGAAGCAAACTGGAGTGTGAGAGAACAACGTGAGGACTCTTGGGCTTTCCGTTTTACAGGCACCTCTGCCCTCAGGGAAGGCAGCCGCACTCCATCGGCTGGCCACATGCAGCCCCTGGACCCCTTACTCAGGACCAGGGACCCTGGGGCTGTGGGAACTCCGCTCTTGCCGCGATGAGCAACCCCACGCTGCCCTCCCTCCGCCCCTGCCCCGAGCAGCCTCCTGTACTTTGCAGAGAGGTATGTCAGATTATCACCAAGTGACATGACGCTGACATCTTCCTTGCTCGGGTGCCATGAGACTGCCTCCTACCTTTTCAACCACGTGACTATTTCATGTCTCAGGCCCTGACATCTCAGAGCTCACCCAATGATGCCAGTCAGGCAGGCTGTCTCCCCGCGGGTGTGCAGAGCTGGCTCCATGCAGAACCGAGTGGGTAACCGCTGCGGACGCCCGGCCCTGGGTGCACGTCAGCCGGCCCCGCGGGCCCGTCGCTGCACCGTCCGGCGCCCACCACCGGGCCCGGACTCGACCCGCAGCGCCGCCCCGCGGGGGCCCTGCTGCGTGTCCGCCGAGGCCGACCCGCCGTTCCCGGCGCTGCCGCCAGGGGCCGCCGCCGCTCCCCTATGACACAGCAACAATAGAGGCCGCTCTGGCCCGCGTTTCCGCCGGAAACAGGCCGCCGGCGCGGAGGCGGGCCGGACGCGATGGACGGCGGCGGGGGCCAATCGGAGCTGGGCCAAGGCCGGACGCGCGGCTGACGGAACTCAATCGGCGGCGGGGCGGGCCGAGCGCGGGCTTCCGGCGAGGCCCGGCAGGCGCCGAGAAGGAAGAGCGAGCCCGGACGGCGCCCCTGAGGCCGAGTGTGAGCACAGCCAGGTAGGGGCCCGGTGGCGGCAGGTAGGAGCGCGCGGGGCCGGGCTCGGCCGGGCGGCGGGAGGGCGGGACGCGGCAGGAGCGCGGAGCCGAGGCAGTCGGGGCGGGCCGCCGGTGCCCCAGACGCGCCGGGCCGTAGGCGGCGAGGCTCCGCGCGGGCAGCAGTGACGTCGCGAGAGCGGGGAGCCCGCGGGGCTGCGCTCGGCCCCGCACACGCCGCCCGGCCTTGCACAGCCCGGCGCGCTCCCTCTCCCGGGCCGCCGCGGGGCCGAGCTGCGTTTGGGTGGGACATTGCGCACGCGACGCCGCACGACGGGCCTCGCTCTGCTTTTTCAGGATGACGACTTCAGGCGCCCTGTTCCCAAGCTTGGTGCCCGGTTCTCGGGGATCCTCTACCAAGTATCTGGTGGAGTTCCGGGCAGGAAAAATGTCATTAAAAGGAACTACGGTCACCCCAGACAAACGGAAAGGGCTCGTGTACATTCAGCAGACGGACGACTCCCTCATTCACTTCTGTTGGAAAGACAGGACCTCTGGGACCGTGGAGGATGTGAGTCCTGTAGCCAGACCAGGCCGGCGGAGGCTCTGGGCGAGAGCTGGCAGCGTGGGGGCCGCTGGCCTCGCCTGCAGTAGATCGGTGTAGGGGTTGTCTGGTCCCAAGGTTGGCAGACTGCTTCAGTCACTGTGAAGCCATGCATCCCATGGTGACCGTGGTTCTTAAGATTTTAGCGGGGACGGCTTGCTGACATGTTGACAAAGTCAGCTGGTGATACCGCCCTCAGTATCTTAAACTTCCGTGTTGTGGAGGAGTGTACAGATCCGACCTTCGCCACAGCCACAGTAGTTTGAGCTGGTGAAGAGGCCACGTCCCCTGAGGCTCTTTGTCTCTCAGACTACATTGTTCTTTGTTACACCTGATTGACCTTTTGCATTTTGGGGTACAGTTCCAGAATGTTTGTTCAAAGTCCTCGGGTCCTCGGAGGACACCTTCTCTACCCCACCACCCTGGGTCCTCCCTCTTCCACCTCTCCTCACTGGGGTCTGAGCCTTCTGGGTTCCACCCTGTTAGACCTGGGTCCGGGGAACGGAAACCTTGGTGGTATGTGTGGCTCACTGTCCTCCTTGTGTCTCCAGGACTTGATTATCTTTCCCGATGACTGTGAGTTCAAGCGGGTGCCTCAGTGCCCCAGCGGGAGGGTCTACGTGCTCAAGTTCAAGGCAGGGTCCAAGAGGCTCTTCTTTTGGATGCAGGTATGCAGGAGAATGGTCCACTCTGTTTCCACCTGGAGGGCCTGGGGGAGCTGAGTTCCCACCTATGTGAGGGGCTCATGGTTAGCACCAGAGCCCTGCGCATGGAGTCACCTGCAGGCACACAGCTCCAGGTCCCTGGCCCTGGCTCCTAGAGGTGACACTGTGTTCTCTCGGCAGTTGAATGTCCCTCTCAGGCTCTCCTGTGCTGTGTCTTTGGAGACCTTGCAGTGACGCCCTCACCCGCATCTGCAGCGCCCCTCAGTCTGCCCTGCTGGAGGCCATTGACCTGTCTGTTTCTCAGGCTGTTAGTGCGGTGTTGCGGTGGTGTGGAGCATGGGCTCTCTCTTGGGTTTGTGGGCACAGTCTAGGGTCGGCAGCTAACACTGGGGTGTGTTCAGGCTGGTGTACACCTTTTCAGATGACAGTCACTGCCACTGTCATCCAGTCTAAAGGGGCAGCAGCTGTTGGTCTGCACAGTACCAGGAGGGCGAAGTTTCCTCTCAGCCTGAGTTCTGGTCACCTGAGCCCAAGGATCCAGAACGTCTTTAGGTGGAAACTCAGAGAGTGGTTGCTTACTGCAGAACGTTCTCTACGGTTCTGAACATTGTTAATGAACCCATCACTGTTAACTCTTCCTAATTTCACTCTTGTAATGCCGTTCTTGGCCCTTTTGCCACGGGCACAGGGGCCACACAGTACTCTATCCCAAAGTTTTGGGGGCAGCCATCCCTCAGCAGTGTTGAGATGGGGGTTAGTTTGTTACCTCTGAAGACACTCGAGGCTTCTTGTGGTGGTGACTGGCTTGGGGCCCTACTCGCTGCTGCCATTACTGTCTCTCTTAAGAGCCTAGACTGGTTTCTGTCTCTGTTGCTGTGACATTTGCAGGTTACTGTGTGGGCTGAATCAGGATGGCTACTGGGTACTGGGAAGCCAACAGGCATGAGCCAGCTCCTTGTGCAAGCTGCTCAACCTTGGCTCTTTGCTTATCTCCTCTGGCAGGAGCCCAAGACTGACCAAGATGAGGAGCATTGCCGGAAAGTCAACGAGTGTCTGAACAACCCCCCCATGCCTGGAGCACTGGGAGCAAGTGGGAGTGGTGGCCATGAGCTCTCAGCACTGGGCGGTAATGATCACCTAGACCTGTGTGGGGCAGTGGTCTTCAGTGAACTGGGAGATTGGTTGTAAGAATTTGGTTCTGGTTCTTTCTCTACTCCCATCTTTACTGCACAGAATTCACCTGGTCCCTGCTGCCTCCTTCCAGAACTATTCCCTGAGCCGCTCAGGGCTGGGGCCAAGGCCAGGCTTATGCCATAGTCAGCGATGTGTAGTGACCATAGGTCCTGGCCATGGCCACTGCAGGCCCATGTCTGATCCTTGTGTTCTCCAGGTGAGGGTGGCCTGCAGAGCCTGTTGGGGAACATGAGTCATAGCCAGCTCATGCAGCTCATCGGACCAGCCGGCCTCGGAGGACTGGGTAACACCTCACTATCCCTGGCTTTCCAGTAAGGGGCTTTGTAGTGTTTGCTTGCAGACACAGGGTTTCCTCCCAGCTCCCTTTACTGGGGTCTCAGCCGTGTCTGTGTACATGTGTCCTTGTACCACTCCTTTTTTGGAATGCTCGTCTGCTGGGTACAAGCTGGGTGGGAGGGAGGGGCCTGGTCTAATATCCGTGTGCATGTGTAGTTCACCTGGGGCAGAGCCAAGGGCCATCCCGTTGGGTACAGCGCATGTCCTGGACACCTAGAGGGCACTGTTCTGGCCCGGTCGTGGCTGTTTCTCGAGCATGATTGGGTGGAGTGGAAAGAACTGGCTCAGTGGACAGCTTTAGAATTCAGCCGACTAGAGTGGTCACTTCATCCTCCTGTGGCCTGCCTTGTTAGAACCCTCCCTGCTCATCCCTTTGGGATGTGTGGCTTCTTGCGTCAGAAGACAGGGGTTAGTGCCTTCTCGGGTGGGCTGGGTGTCTAGCCCACATCTGTGCTGCTTTAGGTGGACTTGGAGCCCTCACCGGACCAGGCCTGGCCAGCTTGCTGGGGAGCAGTGGGCCTCCGGCAAGCAGCTCTTCATCCAGGTGAGCCCGGGCCTCCAGTGCCTGGTGTGGGTACCAGGCCCCACCACCCACCATTGCATGCTCTTTTCTGGAGACCTCACTTAATAGGTAGAGTGGAGGGTCCCCATTACACCTGAGCTTGCTACCAGGGGAAGTCGGCTCCAGACCTGTGGATTAGCCCTGAAACAGCGGGCCTAGCTGTTCCAGCCCTTGCTCACTTTCCCCAGCTCCCGGAGCCAGTCGGCAGCCGTCACCCCATCCTCCACCACCTCTTCCGCTCGCGCCACCCCAGCCCCTTCTGCCCCAGCAGCTGCCTCGACCACCAGCCCAAGTCCCGCACCCAGCTCAGGTAATGGAACCAGCACAGCAGCCAGCCCGACCCAACCCATCCAGCTGAGCGACCTCCAGAGCATTCTGGCCACTATGAATGTGCCGGCAGGGCCAGGAGGCAGCCAGCAAGGTAAAGAGCTGCAGGTACCCATGGGGTGACGGTCTGCTGCCCATGTACTCAGTGGCTCTTGAAGATGTGGAGCCCGGGCGTGTCCATGGTGTCAAGCCACACTTGCCCATCCTTCCGATGCCTGGGCTGGGATTGGGCCACTGATGGCCACCATGCTTGTACCCTAGTGGATCTGGCCAGTGTGCTGACACCAGAGATCATGGCTCCCATCCTCGCGAATGCAGACGTTCAGGAGCGCTTATTGCCCTACCTGCCCTCTGGGGAGTCTCTGCCCCAGACGGCAGATGAGATCCAGAACACATTGACCTCGCCCCAGTTCCAGCAGGTGTGTATTGCGTGGCACTCTCTGCACCTGTAACTCTAGCATGGTGGGCCTGGTGCCACAGGCTCAGCTCTGCATGAACGCTCTTTGTTGCAGGCCCTGGGCATGTTCAGTGCAGCCTTGGCCTCGGGACAGCTCGGCCCCCTCATGTGCCAGTTTGGCCTTCCTGCAGAGGCTGTGGAGGCCGCCAACAAAGGTGGTGAGTACTGATCCTCAATCTTGGCCAGAACCAGCCTTTTGTTTTGTGGAGTGCTGGAGGCTGTCTACTCGGGTAGTAGCCCTGATGTGGCCATTTCAGATGTGGAAGCATTTGCCAAAGCCATGCAGAATAATGCCAAATCGGAGCCGAAGGAGGGCGACGCAAAAGACAAGAAAGACGAAGAGGAGGATATGAGTCTAGATTAAATTATTCGCTGTCCTTCCCCGATTTGGAATTCATAGTTGTGTGATTCCGTAGTGGCGATTGTGATTCGTTGTACCCTCTCCTGCCCCACCTCACTAATAAAGTCCTCTCTTGTACCTGCCAACTCTGATCTTGGCCTTGTGTTACTGTAGCTCCACTCCCCTGAGAGCTTAGCTGGTGAGGAGAGGGTGGTGGGGCCAGCTGTCACACTGGGTTCTGTACCCCACTGTCAGGCCTGTACATGGCCCAGCCATTGCTGTTTGAATCACCACCACACTCAAGTGAAACAAGTTGCTTTTAATTCCAAAGGAGCCAGTGGTTTTACAGATCTCAGTTACGAGGAACAAAGTATAAATATAAATGTGTCTGTTCTGCAGTGTCCTTTTATCTAAAAAGACAGCTTAAACTAGAAAATCTAGGCAAATACCAGTGTCTGGGAACCCTCAATGCTGGAGTAAGGGCAGGGCTCCGGGACTGGCCTGCCCCTGGGTCAGTGCTGCAGAGTGAGCTGGGGCTGGGGCTGGAGTTCCAGCAGGGCAGCCACTTGTCCCCACTGCCCCCTGGACTTGTGCAGAAGCAGTCACAGTGACAGGGGCCCCGTTGACCACCAGCTTCCTCATGCATCCTCGGTAGGCAGGGCGCTCTGGCTGAGCAGTTGTTGCCTCTGGAAATACAAAGGGACCAGAGAAGAGGATTGGTAGAGGAAGGTCATCTGTCCCTGCATTAGCCCATCAGCCTGGTCTCTGCTGCCCCTTTGGAGGGTGAGAGGATCCCAGTCCACGGGCAGTCCACACTTACTGGGCAGGCCCCCAAGGTGTAAAGGTGCTGGAGTATCAGCCAAGGTCGCGGGCAAAGGGCCTGTGGTGTGGTTGCTCCGTGTGTCTACCTCCAGCCGGAGCGTGTTCCTGCCCTTGACCACTGTGGAGCAGATTCGTGTTTCCTAGCTGGCCAACCTGCAGCCCCCCCCACACACACACACAAACTACCCTGCTCTACAGAAGAGGGGAAGGGCCCCTCACCTGCTATCCGGTGCCACTGTCCATCACAGAACGCGGGGTAGGTCACCCATGTGGAGAACTCTCCTGCCCCATCATTCGCCCGCAGCAGGACCTGGGGCCAAGGAAAGTTAGGCTCTGTCCCCCAGAGGCCACAGTGGGGAAGAAATCACTCACCCAGCACCGTAGCCCTGCTCACCTGATCTGTCAACACTTGGAGCTGCACATAGTGGGTGGCCTGGGCCTGGCCCAGGTGGAAGATGAGGCCAGCAGCTGCCAAGGGCCGTACTTCTAGCTCCAGGGTCACATAGGGCAGCTTGGCCTTGGAGGGCTCTGTGGGGAGGGGCCGTGATGGGGGAGGTCCAGGCCCTTGCTTAGAGCCCCTACACCCACAGCCTCCCTTGCCTCACACACCTAAGGTGACAATTCCCTCGCTGCCTGGAAAGAACAGGCCATCCTCCAGGGGGCCTGAGACACAGGGTGTGACCCCCACCGTTCGCGTTGGAATCCTCAGGGGCCGCTTATCCAGCCGCAGATTCTTCACACAGCCACTGAACCCCACAGACACCTGCAGGAACAAGATAGTTGGTGTCAGGCTGGGCCTGCTGGGGTGGACATCCAGGCCCTGTCCAGGCCAGGCCAGGCATGGGGGCAGTATGGTTCTCACAGGGAGCGTGGAGCTGTGATTGCTGGCAGGGAGACCTCCAACAACGAGGGTGTAAGGCTGTAGGCCCTGTGCCCTGTGGGCCCGATGGCGGTGTGCCTTCTGGCTCCAGGTCTGGCTGCCATCCACCACAAGCTGGATCTGCTGCATCCTCCAGTGCACAGACACCTGAGTGTGGGAAGGAACCTGGTCAGCAGTATCCCAGTACCCTGGGAAGAAAGCAGCCTCAGAGGGCATTCACTGTGCCCTGCCGCCCACACCCTTCCTCCTTAGCCTCTCACCCTGTGCCACTGGCCAGCCCGTGAGTGCTGGCGGCTCTGGACCTGGAGCTGGGGCCCGGGGCCTTCCGTCTGTGCCACAAAGTGTCCATGGCTCAGGAAGAGTACCAGTGAAGGACTGTGGCCTGACAGGGGGGCAGCCGAGAGCAAGAGGCCCTGGGAAGCAGCATGTGGGCGGACAAGCATCGATAGATGGAGCCTGGAAGCCAAGCATGGCATCAGCCTGGGCAGCACCTCCAACCCCACCCACGCCTGGCCTGGCCAACCTTACCTATTCCTGTGGGATGGGGAGACACCCACAAACTGCAGGTAACTGGGCAGGGGTCCCCCAAACTGGTATGTGTCCTGAATAGTCCCGAGGAGCCAGGGTGGTGTGCAGGCAAGGTCCTGGCTGGGTTGGCGACTGCGGCGGGAGACCTAGGGCACAGACCAGACCACAGTGCAGGGGCCAGTGTGTTGGCAGCCAGCCTCCCAGCTACTCCAGCCCTGCCCGCACACCACCTCCAATACCCCACCTTCTGAGCCATGGTCCTCGAGGTCTGGATGGGGTGGGCCGGTGTACAGCCCGTGCTCACATTGACACTGCCTATGTTCTGCTGTAGGTCAAACACACGCTGTGGCCCCCGAAGTCTGTGGGGGGAAGAGGCAGGTGAGTACCTGTTAGTAACTGGAGTAGGGAGTCGGCTGAGACCTAATCCCTACACCAATCAGCTCACCGCTGCACAAAAACATTGCTGATGCAGCCGCTGAAGTTGTGGGAGGTACCAGACGTAGGCAGGCCTCCCAGGAGGAGGGAGGGCTCCTCAGGTTGGAGTGTGGGGGCTGTTCTCTGGCGGAATTCTATCTCCTGTGGCTGGTCGTCCACCAACAGCTGTACCCTGAGGAGAAGACAGTGTTTCCCATGCTGGCACATTCTTCTTGAAGGGCCAGCTCACCCAGCCCCTCCTGCAGGGCACGCTGGCACTGTCTCCCTCCCTGCCCGAGGCAGGGCTTACTCTCTTGTGCCGTTGGTGTAGAAGGTAACATAGTGGGGGGCGCCGTCAGCAAAGACTCCTTGAGTCCCCACCACTGTCCCCATGAACTGGAGTGTCACATGGCCCTGCTCCAGGGACACCTGGTATGGCCCATCCTAGGGACAGGGAGGGGCAGGGTCAGCTGGCTAGGCCAATAGTCCAGACTCATCCCTTCCAAACCCCCACAGGCCCAGACGGTGGCTACAGCACGTGCAAGCTGTCATCAGCTCACCGGGGAGGCACGATAGTAGAGCAGACTGTTCTCCTGGGTGCCACGAAAGCCAAAGCCAGAGTAGACCTCGCCAGTGACGGGCATCACATTGGGAAGCGCCAGGGACAGGAAGCCATGGCCGTGGAAAGTCATGGCACGTTCCACCAGCAGGTCAGCGGTGCAGCCGAAGCTGATGCCCGTGGTGTTCAATCGTTTGAGGTCCACATACTTGCCCAGAGCCTTGATGCCTTTGATACAGCCGCGGATAGAGCCTCCCGAGGGGAAGAGCTGCTGTAGGCTGCAGGGCACCAGTCAGATCTTGAGTGGATGCCCTGTTGGCACTGGAACCCCACATGCCCCAGGACCCATGCTCACCTTGGGGGTAGCTGCTCAGGTGGCACCCCCCCCAGGTAGTAGGCATCAGCCATGTCCAGCATGTTGTCCTGCTCCACAGTGAACACAGTGACCCTCTCCACACGCACCAGCACGCGTTTGTGGCTGCCAGTCAGTAGAAGAAACACCTGGATCTGCAGGGAATGGGTAGCAGGCTTCAGGAACGCCAACTCCCTGCCGGCCCTCCTGCCCCCAGGCCCCTTGCCTTACCGCCTTGCTGGCTGCTGTCAAGGGCTGTGGGGGCTTCAGTGGGATGGCCTTCTTCAAGCCTGAGCCGAAGTCATAAAGGAGCACGAGGGTGCCTTCCTGCACCGCCAGGCACAGGAACTGGCTCTGCAAGAGCAGAGCGAGCGGGGTCAGCCCAGGGGCATCAGGAAGAGCCAGGATAGGGAGAAGGTGGGACATAGGGTCAGCCATGCCTCTTGCTTGAGGAAAAAGATGATCCCATTGTAGGACACAAGCCGCAGCTCCTGTTCAAAGCGCTTTGCGTTGGTGATCTGCTTCTCAAAGCTGATGCGGGCAAAGCCGCTGCCATCCAGGTAGGAGCCATCCGTGAGCCACGGGTCACCAGTGGCCTTGGAGCTGCACATTAGAGGCTTTAGGTCAGTGAGGGGGGTGGGGGATGAGTGGAGACACATGGTGCTGGGCCTTACCTACCGAGCACAAGGCTTATCCACTGCAGTGTCCAGCTTGAAAGTCTGCTCAAAATTGTAGAGACTGACCACCTCCTCGTTCAATGTGCCCATCTCAATGCAGCCCAGGTAGCCAGGGAATCGAAGGGGTTCAGGGGGCTGTGGGTAAAGTGCATGGTCAGGGCACCTTCCTACTTCCGAGAGACCAATGGACATTCAGACTGCAGAATGGACTAAAACTAGACAAGGACTTTCTCCCAGGTCAAGACAGGCAGGACTGCCAGCACACTCTAGGACTATCCTGAGGCTGAGCCAGGCTCACCGTGAAGTTGCTGGGGTACCCTCCCACATAGAAGACGAAGTCATCAGGCTGTAGGCTGAGTAGCCCCTTTATCCCAGGGGCCACTGTGTCCCCCTTGATCTCATGAACCGTTGGCTTCTCCACCGTGACAGACATGTGGCCAAACTGGAGGGTCCTAAGAGCAGAGGGGAGGGGTGAGAAATAGACTGGGGACTTTGATCCACAAGAGTCTAACCTCTTTCCAAGGTGTCTGTACCTGTCAATGCTGATGGCTGCAAACTGCTCCCCAATGTTCTCATCAATGCTGAGAGTTGTGGGGCCGGCCTCACCCAGCCTGTACACCCAGTGCACCTTCTGATTACGCAGAGACACTCCCATGTAGTCCCCAGTGGCCTGTGGCGGAGGCCAGAAGATGCAGTTAGGATGGGGACCAAGCAACACCCATTTCTAACTTGCAGTCCACTATGGCCCATCCCCACTCCTGCGTGGTTAGTACCTGGCGGCTGCCCATGTACAGAACAAACCGGTCCCCAGTGTTCTCGCCTGGCGCAGGTGCGGGCACCGGGCTCTGTAGGTAGAACTTGAGGGCAGTGTAGGCAGCGAGGTCAGCGAGGTCCCGTGGGACACGCAGTTGCACCCCTGAACGCCCATTGAACTTCATGGACACCTTGACCTGGAGTGTAGCACATGATAGGTTACTATCCAGCTTCCTGCGTCCCACTGTTCCCTCATACAGCCCTATGGTGAGAAGCTACCCACCTTGTTGGCGGCACCGCGGGCTTGGGCAATGAGCTTGCGCACACGACCAATGTTGGCAGACAAGGCCAGGCTGGCATTATGCACTCCACGGTTCTCCAGACGGCTTAGTTTGGCCAGCAGCTGTGGCAATGTCTTCTCCAGGCTGGACACTGCAGGAAAGGAGGGCTGGCAGCCTTGTCTCCCACAGCTTGGCCCCCGGGAGGACAAGGACCCACTGGCTCACCTGAACTGCTTGCATCACGCTCCCCCTGGCTCAGGTCCTGGCCTCGCAGGCTCCCCAACTGGCTTTGCCACCGCTCCACATTCTCCTGCATGCTCTGAAGCTGGGACTGAACGTGGGTGGCCGTGTCCCGGGCTTCGGCAGCCACAGCCTTGGCATGAGCGATCTTCTCACTGGTCTCACCTGCAGCAGATGAAGGCCATGCCCAGCAGGGGCCAACTTCATGTTCCTAGGCCCCACCTAGGATGGCCACCCTAGATGCCCGCCCACCCATGGATAGTATACGCTCCATACCCGCATTTCAACACATTCAAAATTCTACCCAGACACTTTCTTGATCCTGCAGTCCTCCCAACCAGGGACCATCATCAATTCCCAAGACTTGCCCAGCCTTTCAGATTTGTATCCAGGCATGCATGGGACATTTTGGTGGACACAGGGAAAGGAAACCTAGACAACTAGGTCAGACCATGCTGTTGTCAGTTCTGAACTCTCTTGGGAGAGGCAGCCAGATGAACCCCACTCTGGCCTCTATGGTCGATGATCAATTGGTCTTTTCTAGTCATACCCTTCTGAGCCAGTGGTTCTGCTGGACATCCTCCGGCACCTACCCACTGCTAGCCGCCTTGAGCTCTCACCCACGCCTTCGCCACTGTCCAGCACTTCTATGACCTGCTTATCTGTGCCAAGTGCCTGGGGCCGCTGTGTGGGTGACCTGTGCCTCAAGTCAGAGGCACAACCCCAGAGTGCACTTTAGCATGGGAGCCTCCTCAGACCCACTGACCACAACAGTGACTCACTGGCCAACAGTGTGAATGTGTCCACTTTCGCAAGGCATTATGGGGCACAAAGGAGCGATAGGCAAGAGCAGGGAAGCCACATACCTGTGTCCATGGCCAGCATGGCTTGTGCCTCCCGGATCTGGGCTGCCAGCTGGTCCTTCTTGGCCCGAACATCGTGCAGCTGGGTCCCTGCAGCCTGCAGGCGGCCCTGAGCTATGGAGGAGGAGGCAACCTCAGTGACAAGTTCTACCCAACCCTCCTGGCCCATAGATAGATGGAGAACAAAGACAGGGTCCCTGAACCTCATCCTTCTCTGGGTGTGGTGGCCCTTGGCATACCACTAAGACATGATCATCACCCCCTGCACCCCAGAGCAGAGCCATCTTGCAGAAGTCACATAGGGCAGGCATGTCCAGTGCCTATTGATTCTCACTCTGAACCACACTAGAACCATCCCAAAGCTGCATGGACGTGTTCCAGAGGTCAGTGTACTCACCAAGGCCCAGCCTCTCCCGGTGCCCGAGGATGGTCTCCTCCAGGGCACTGCTGTTGGCTGAGAGCTGATGGGCCCGGGCTGCTAGGCCGCGCTGCACCACCGTCTGCAGAAGATCAGGAGCCATTTTCACAGGGCTGTTCACACCACTAGGGCTGGGGGCAGGGCTCCTGTGAGCCACAGATGCCCAGTCTCACCTCCCATGTGTGGCTGGCCTGTTGCAGTGCCTGGTTTGCAGCACCCTCAGCAGCCTGAACAGCCTGCAGGATGCTGCTATAGGCATTGGAGGCCTCCACAGCCCTCTGAATGAAGCGGTCCTGATTGATGCCAAAGATGATGCTGCAGGGGGTAAGGAGGATCATGGGGTGTGTGGATAGGGGTGTTAGAGATCACAGCTTGGCTAGCCACATCTCAGGGTCTGTGCCTTCAGATCTGCCCCTTTCTGCCGAAATTTGGGCCCCAAACTAACCATGAGGCTACAAAAAGCCTAGAACCTTCTGGAGTACTGACTTCTCCCTCCATGAGCCCTCCCAGACCAGTTACCCTACTTAGGGTCAATTGCACCTACGGGCACCCAGGTTACACCCTAGGGAGGGGATGCCACACACCCAGACAGATTGATCGCCAGCTGATTCAGCTTCTGAGCATGGGCCTCAGCAGCCTCTACCAAGTCCACCTTGCTGCTGGCAGGAGAGAAGGCCTGCATCTTCTTCAATAAGGGTGTCCAGGCTCCATCCAGACTGGCTGCCAGGTGCTCTAGGTCCTGAGGTGGGGGGTGGGCTTTATTACCCTCCTAATTTGGGATCCCAGGACCAGAGGGTGCTCGGCATGCAAGTGAGTCCAGCACATCTAAGCTGGCAGCAACCAAAAATCTTGGAGGGAACTGGCTAGGAATAAGTGAGATGGTAGGGCTGTATTTACCTCCTTAGCCCGGTCCACGCCCTGTAGAAGCTCAGAAACACGACCCAAGGTGAGGCTGGCAGCCTGAAGAGTGGCCATTAGGGTGGCATTGTCCTGGGACAGCTCTTGTTTCCATTGCTTGGGATAAAGTTTTAGGAGAGTGAGAATAAAGGATGAAATGGGGCCCTAAGCATCATGGGGAAGGAAGAAGGGGAAGGGGAGGGAGAGCTGAGAGCAAGGACAAGGGAAGAGAGCAATGAGAGGAGGGAGGAGGGCAAGGGTAGGGGAGAGCAGGGAGAGGGTGGAGATGGGGTTCAGGCAGGAGGAGGTTAGATGTAGAGAGGATAGAAGGCAAGGAGAGGAGGGAGAACAGGAAGAGAGTTGGTAGAAGGCCAGGACATGGAGAAGAGAGGCCTGGAGAGGAGCTGGGAGAGGGGAGAGGGTGGGACACAGGAACAGAGGGCAGGAAGCAGGTGTACTTACCAGGGCTTCATTCAGCCGCTCTTGGTTGCGGCTGTTGAGTTCATCAGCCTCCCGGGTAGTATTCACCGCGTGGTTCAGGGCCTCACGGAGGTCCATGAGGCCAGCCTCGTACTGGGCCAGCTGGTCCCGAATGCGTGTGGCCAATGACTGGTTCTCCTCCCAGACGCTGGTCAGCTGCTTCTGCACACGCACCATCACTGGCCAACACCAGAGTAGGTTGTTGGTACCTAGACCCCTTCGTGAACCCCAGTCTCGTCCACCCTGAGCGGCCCTGCCTGACACGGTTTGGCCCCACTCACGCCTCTGGGCTTCTGTCAGTTCAGCTTCTGCCACTGCCCGTGGGGCCCCCAGGTCACGAGTCCGCATATCCCAAAGTAGCCGCTCCACTTCAGCCAGTGCCCAGCGCAGCTGCTCACCAGACGGTGCAGAGGCATTGCCTGGAGACACTTGGCCCATGTGAGACGCCAGCTCTGCAGAGAGAGGATCGTCAGAGCCTTGGGGTGGCCTCCACTCATCTACTTCCAAGCCTAAGACCCGTCCAGGGCATTTCGGCAGCCACAGCACATATCCCAATAGCACATCAGTGGCTCTTAGAGGATACCCCTCTGCCTTTATCCCCTATAACCGTTCTTTTCTACAATCCTGGCATGCTGGTGCAGGCCATTCCCTGGCCTTCCCTAAGCAGAAAGTTCAGTTTTATTTTTCTTCCAATCCTTTGGCTGTGCCAGATCCCGTCATAAGCTTGGGAGCCCAGTTTCTTCTCGGTCACTGGACTGTTTGCCACTAAGGAGGTTTGCAAGTATTCCCAGGGGAGCTGGGTGAGGGTCAGTCCAGCGCTAAGGGAACAAAGAGACCCTGGCCAACCAGCCACTTGCCCAGAGGATAAACATATAGGACTCAGCCAGCTCAGGGGGAGACTTCTAGGAGGTCTTACCCACCACCCCAAGCAGCCTACCTCATACTGGGCCCATGCATCAGCCAGCCTTACCACTCAGAGCATGGTTCATAGCACGCACGGTCTCCAACAATGTCTGTGCCCGGCCGAGTGTGGCCTCTGTGTTGTCCATCAGCTGGCCCGCCCGGCCTTGGGCCCCTATGGCCTGTGGGTACAGTTTCCTTCAGCTGTGGTGTTTGTGGGTACATGGCTAGGGCATGAGTAGGGTGAAAAGGGTGGCCCTGGAGATGGTGTGGAATGATTAAGAGAAGTGGGGGGAGGTGGGTTTGGTGTCAAGGACTGGGGGGTCCCAGGGGTGAGGGCTTCTCGAGGACAGGCACCGCGGGACACTGGGGTGGGGTTCACAGGTCTCGCCTGACTGCCCAGCTGCTCAACATCCTGCTGAAGGCCTGCGCTCTGTTGCTCTAGAGTCTGTAATTGCTGTGTTGTCTGGTAGCGGGGTCCTGGTGGGCTCCGGAGCTTACTCTGTTGGGGGCAAGAAGTAAGTACCACATGGCCATCCGGAGGAGGCAGGAAAGGCAGATGGGCATGAAATACCTGCAGGTCAGCAATGGAGGCATTCAGCCTATGCAGCCTGTCCCAAGCTGTGGAGCTAGCATTGATGCCTTGCAGCTGCTGGCGGATGGCAGGGAGGAGGGCAGCAGCTTGCTCGAGGTCATCCAGAAGCAGGACCACACAGTGGTCACACACTGCAGGCAGAGGAGAGCAGGCACTGAGGATATGGGTTAGCCAGGGATTAGAGGACCAACCGAAGGATGGGCTGGCTCCATGAGGTCAGTATAAGAGGCCAGCACCAGGGTTATGGGAAATGGAGACACTAGGTCAGGGCAAGAACTAATCAGGAAAATAGGGTCGGCACAGGGTCAGATTCAGAGAAGCACAAGAGGTTGGCATAAGAGACTGAGCCATGCCAGTTATGCCAAAGTCATAAGGGTAAGAGGTCAGCAAGGGCATCCCAGGGTCAGGTGAAGACCCTCATCTGGTCAGGAGGAAGCTGGTCTTGGAGGCTACGGAGCAGTCTATTGGGGAAAATCCTGGGCAGTGAGGTCGACTGAAGAGGCAGTGGCCAGTTTTGGAGCTGCACCCCCAACTTAGGAGTAAGAGAGCGGGTACCAGGTTAGCATGGATTTGTGGAAATTCCTCAGGAAATGGAGACAAGACAGCTGGGGTCCCTCTGAATGCTGAGGTTACTTAATACAGGGAAGAACACCAGGTCGTGGCAGGCCTGAGAACCCCACACACCAGGCAGGATAGGAAGACTGGGCAAGGACCAAGAAGGGTTAGTGAGGGCGTACCTTCACAGTGTACGCCATGGCCCCCAGGCCCGCCTGGGACAGGCACCTGGTGCTGCTGGTTACAGGTGTCGCAGCGCTCCCCACTGAGCCCTGGGGGACAGGTGCAGCGGCCTGTGTGGGGGTCACAGTGGCCTCGTGGACACTGGCAGCCTGCAGCAAGAGGGGCAGGTAGATGTAACTGTGGATGTCCAAGTATGCCTGCCTCTCCACCCTGCCCGCCCACACTCCTGTACTCACGCCTGCAGCCCTTCTCTGGGACCCCCCAGTAGCCAGGGGCGCACTCGCGGCACTGGGGGCCTGTGGTCCCTGGCTGGCAGTGACACTGACCGCTCTGGGGGTGGCACTCAGAGCCCTTGGCAGCTGGTCCACAGGCACAAGGGTGGCAGCCCTGGCATTGCTCAAAGCCGAAGTGTCCTTCCTGTGATACACCCTGCAGTCAACAGCCTGCCCAGCCCTCAGCACCACACCTCCTCCAGCCCCAGGCTATCTCAGGCTCTCCCTCAGTAGACCTCCACAGGCCCGGTCCGTCCCCCGTCCCCCCCCCCATAGCCCGGCCCGGCCTCAGGCCCACTGCCGGCCCTACCACACAGCGATCACAGCGTGGTCCAGTCACTCCCGCCTTGCACAGGCAGCGCCCACTCCGGGGATCACAGGCTTCTGTCCCGCATGGGGAACAGTCACATCCTGTAGAAAGCGGGGGCCGTGATAACTGCGCTGTCCCCTATCCCAACCCTTCCAAACCTAGCCCCTTCCTTCCTGCAGTTTTTCCCATGACTTGGTCCAGTCTTCTCACACCCCACAGTCACAACCTCACTGGTCCTGTTTGGCCTTCTCCCTGCAGCCTTGCCCTAAAGGGGACAAGGCAAGGATAGGGTCTGGCCACGAAGCTGGCCACCAAGGAGGATCTGCCTGCAGGGAAGGAAGCCTGGTCACATGGCATATAACCTGTTCTTAGGGAGCAGCCGAAATCCCACCCAGTGCTTACGGGTGCAGTTGCCGGGCAACAAGGCATCGCCATAGAAGCCGGGGGCACAGCTCTCACAATGGGGCCCGGTGGTGTGACGAAGGCAGCCGCGACAAGCGCCTGTCAGGGGGTCACAGTCACTGAAGATCATGTTGGGGTCTCCGTTGCCACTGCAGTCACAGGGCTGACAGGAGCTGCCCAGCACCAGAGGGTTCCCAAAGAAGCCAGGTGCACAACTGGGGACGGGAGACAAGGAGAGAGGGGGCAGTCAGGGTCCAGTGGCCCCACTCAGGCTCCCTAGGGGCTGTACAGATTCACCCCGCCTAGTTACCGCTCACAGGAGGCCCCGGCATAGCCTGGTCTGCAGAGGCACTGGGTCCGGCCATTTCGTAAGATGCAGCCATCTGCAAAGCTACAAGAATGAACAGGCAGTTGCTGCACATCAGTGCCTCTCCACCAGGGGTAGGCACCCGGTGCTGGGTTCACCTTCTGAGCCTACCCCAGCTGCTCAGGGGCTGCAGAAGGGACTGGGTGCTGCTTACTTGTTGGAAGGTACTGCCAAGGGGCAGGGGCAGCTCACGCAGGGGGCTGCAGGGTCGTTGGGATCAGTGCTCACAAAGCCTGCCCTGCAGCGCTCACACTGGTCTCCTTCTGTGTTGTGCTGGCAGTTCTGGGACACAGTGGGAAGTCAGTGCTCAAAGCAGAGACACATCCCCGCCCACCCCCACTGCCCTAAGCCAGCTGGTACTCTGGGTCTAGGCCGAGTTTATCTAGAACCACAGATCCTGGGGTCTTCCTTGGCTGGCCAGGCTCCAAAGCATACTCACCACACAGGTGCCAGAGCCAGGAAGGCAGCGTTCCGAATGACCATGGCACTGGCAGGGGACACATCGGCCCAGGAAGAGACCTTTGATGTCCCTGTAATAGCCAGGGGCACATTCCTGGGGGAAGGCAGGTAGAGCATTAATGATTGGGTGAAAAATGTGATGCCAGCCCCAAGGCTGGGCAGACCAGATAGGCAGCTCACAGGTCAGCCCCTGGGAACCTTCATGCACCAGGGGGGGCTGCAGGGATACCACACCATGGATCACAGGGCCCAGTCGTTGGCTGCCAGAACTGTTGGCCCTGTCTGGCTGTTAGGCCTCTGGACCTCTGGACACACTGCCAAACGTAGATGGCATGGCTCAGAAATGACTAGACTATGTGGTGGGGACCAGAGCTGCCTTCTTCTATTCCAAACATCTTTTTCTAGTGGTGGTCAGTCACAACCCTTCCAGGGTATCATGCTGGACTACCCAGGGCCACAGGCAGCTGGACACCAGTAAGGGGGAAGGGGGTGACTGCTGGGAACTAGGGTGGACCGGGGAGGATGGTTGTGCCGTTACGGAGTGAGCAATGATGGGTGACGGCAGCCATGTGTATGGAGGGGTGGCAGTGATAAAGGGTGGGGAAACAGGTGATGACGGAGCAGCTGACTGGAAAGGAGGCTGGCAGGGTAGCAGGGAGGAAGACACGTGTGGGCAGAGATAGGACAGAGTGAAGGGCAGATGTTGGCAGACGTACACTCGGGCAAGGACCCATGGTAGGAGCACCTTCGTGGCCAAGCACCCACCCTCACCACTTTTTACCTGGCATGAGTCCCCACGGTAGTTGGCAGGGCACATACACAGTTCCACATTGCTGGCTGGGGGCCCCCTGCCAGCCTCGCCAGCCACCTCTAGTACCACTCTACGCAGGGAGACAGTGGCAGAGGTCTGTGGGAAGAGGGCACGGATCTGCAACTGCTCGAGGCCGGCCAGCACCATCATCAGCTCTTCGCGGGACACCGTGTTGTGAGTCTCCAAGTGACGGAAGTTTCCCTGTAGGGCCGAGACATCACCTCAGCTGGGGTAGAGCATGGAGTACAGAAAGACCCTCCTGTAGAGGGCAGAGGCGCACAGAGATCACAGGAGTAGGGAACTCCCTCGGTCACCCACGAGGAAAAGGAGCAACTGGGTTCCTTCCTCACAGTCAACTCCAGGTATATTAAGAATTTAAATAAGCAAAGAAAATAGTTCAAGGTTTAGAAAAAAAAATAAATAAATGGGTCCTTCCTGACATTAGAGAGATAAATATTTTCACAAATAAGACACAAAAACTGAACAAACATGAAAGCCTGATAAACTTAAATATACCAAGAATTTATTGAACAAAGAACATTTTAAAAAAGAAAAGAAACTACAGGGTCAGTGAGACAGCTCAAGAAGCAACGGTTGCCTGCCCTCAGCCTGACAAGCAGAGTTCAGTCCCCAGGACAGCACGGTGGGAGACGTGAGCCAGCCCTTCTAAACTGTCCGATTCCACGTGCACGCTGTAACATGCATACGTGGGTATGAATGCACACGCGCACACACACACACACACACACACACACACACACACACACACACACACACACACTATCTCTCTCTAAATAAATAAATAAAATGTAATAAGCTAAAAAAGGATCAAGCTATAAATGAGAAGACAGCTTTGATGTGTCTAGAGGAAGCTCTTTAAAAAGTAAGAAAGGCCAACAAGTCAGACACAGAGGGCAGCTCCCAGAGTGGATCAAGGAGCCCCAGGGCTTCTCATCCACTCTGTTCAGGGGTCTTAAAACCAGAGATGACCCACTCAGGGAGATCGGAAAGGAAGACCACCAGCCCCTGTCTCCTACCACCGGGCTCCCTTGTGGAGAACAGTGAGTATGCTGACTATGGCTCCTTTGGGTCCTTCCTGGGCAGGACTGGGATCCAGGCCAGCTCTGCTCACCTCTACCAGTTGTAACTGTCCCCGGTGAATGTGGCCGGGTGGAGGGTATGCCAGCTCCAGGAAGGCGATGCTCATCTGGTTGCCCTGAGAGCAGACACACATGAACCAGGGTAAGGGCTGGCAACTGGGCCGGCCCACCATCCCAGCCGGACACACCCACCCCACTCAACCACCTGCAACACCACGTCCGGCCGGCTCTCATAGGGAATGAAGACATCACCACGCTGAGGCTCTGAGTGCAGCTCATAGTGGAGGGTCCCACCGTAGGAAGACACCTGGAGCCAGCACAGAGGGAATGGTCCTCCTCTTTCCCACGCCCATCCCTTACAGCACCCTCATCGGGCACGCTCCCTCTACAATGTGTTTCCAGGGTCCCTGGATGTACCCTATCGGCATGCATTTCCCCAGTACCCCAGAGCACTTCCTGCCCTCAAAGTACAGCCCCTCAAACCAAATGCCCCTGCTCACCCTGTCGCCCAGGTAGGAGGGTGGAGCCTGCCAGTACAGCTCTGGGAAACTGTCAGCCACACGACGCAAGTCTGCATGGAGCAGCTCCATCTCAGGCCGATGCTCATGAGGTATCACCTGCCGATCACTGCTCAGCAGCACCCAGCCCTCCATGTCCACAAACTGTGAGCACACACGACACGTGGGTCACATAGAGTGGAAACTTGGCCTTGCCCTGCATTCCAGGCCCCTCTAGTGGCTCCCATCTCAGTCCCAGGCTAGGGCAGGATACCTCATGTCGGGCATGGTTAGAGCTCCCACAGCGCTCTGTTGCCCCAAAACAGAAGCAGCGGGTACAGCCCTTGGGGTTAGCAGTGTCCAAGGAGAAGGTCCCCAAGCGACATTGGTCACATCTTGAGCCCTGTACATTCTCCTAAGGTCAGGGGACAATGAAGGTCAGTTGGCTGTGTGTTGAGGACCAAACACACCATAGATCGGTTTTAGACCTTGCCCTCCAAAAGCTTCTAGGAATCCCCACCTTCCCGGAAAGGCTGCTGAGGACAATGTCTCAGCTGAAGCAGATGATGCAGGACAGTGACCTGGACACAAGCCCCTGCTCACCTTGCAATGGCACTGGCCTGTGATGGGGTCACATATACTAGCCATGGTGCCAGCCTCATGGCAGTCACAGGGACGACAGCTAGGGTAACCATAGAAGCCTGGGGCACAGGTGTCACAGCGACGCCCGGCGACATTGGGTCTGCACCTGCATGTGGGTAAAGGCAATGTGAGGCCCCTCCAGCCCTGGGTCACCCAGAAGCCATGGGATCTAAGCCCCTAGAGTCTTCTGAGATGCAGAGGAGTGAGTTGCTGGGTGAGGGGCGATGCTCTCCCCGACCTGAGGTCCCACAAGACAGTAGGGTGCTCTCTAGACTCACTTGCACTGGCCACTGTCCATGTCACACGTGGGATCTGTCAGTTCCTGGACTCCGGGCCCTGAGCAGTTACACTCCTCACAGCCAACCAAGGGGTGGCAGCCAAAGCTCTGCGGCTGGCAGACCAGGCAGTCAGGGGGGACGGTGCGTGGTGGACAGATGCACTGACCCGTGAGCTCGTCACAAAGGCGGGTCCCGCAGTCACAGGCTGTTGGGCAGATAACATTGCTGACCCCTCTGCCCCACTCAGGCCCCAGGTGCAGCCGAGGAGGATGTGGCAGGCAGAGCTGGGGACACCACCCTGGTTCCACCCCTTCCTCATAGTTCTACACCTCACAGTTCCTTTGACATGAACCATGTGCCACTGTTGGGGGCTACTGGCACCTGCTGCATCCTAGAACCTTTTAGAAGAGGTGCATAGACAGGAAGTGATGGGACTGGTTTGCCAGGCTCCAGAATTTTCCCTTGATCACCATGCCCCCTGGGTCCTAGTGCACCCCATCTCCCAGGAAGTCCTTAGAATTCAGCACACTGGCTCTGATGCTCTGAGCACTGGGTACTTACGCCTGCAGCTGGGGAAGCCCCAGTAGCCGGTGGCGCAGCGGGAGCAGTCACGGCCAATGACATGGCTCCGGCAGGGACACTGGCCCCCGAAGGGTTCACATGTGGGGCTTATGGCACCCACCTCGTGGCAACCACAAGGTAGGGCCCCATTATTGTAGAAGAGAGACAGGGAGGCGGCAGCATTCCGGCAGAACGAGGACGAGCTGCTGGGGCTACAATGAGGAGCAGCGGTGAGGTTGGCTCCTGGCCTGACCCCTGCACCCCAGACCCGTCCTGCCTCACCCAGCCCACCTGATGTGGTAGCCCTGGGTGGCACAGTGGCTGATGAAGTCATAGGATTTGTCCAGGGGCTGCTCATGGAGGTAACTGGAGCTGTACGCATCCTCGGGGACGATGAGTATGTAGTCCTGAGAAACAATACCTAGTCACCTTCGCAAGGGCCCAGCGAAAGGGCCTGCCTGGGGGAAATGGGGACAGAGCCTGCAGGCAGGAACAGGTGCTGAGGCAGCCCCCTCAGCCTGGACAAGGCCGGGGCATGGCAGTCCTGTCTGGCACTTAGGCCACTCAGAAAGGAAGTTCGTCACAGAGCGGGACAGTGAAGGGGTGGCCAGCCAAGCCTCTGTGCGGCTCACGTCCTCCTCTTGTCTCTCCTGTCACCCAGGCCCCACTTCCTCTGCGAGGTCCCTCCACCAGTGGGACTGGTGGCTTAGCTCTCAGGGACCCTCCAGAGCCTCACGTGGCACACTTGTGATGGGGGGCGCCCTGGCAAACAGGTGGTACGCTCTGGCTGAGACCCACAGATATTTGACAGCCACAAAGGGAAGACCACTCTGCAAGCTGGACCCCAGCCCTAGGCCTCACCAGCCAGAGCCACCGGCCTTCTGGCACACGCACGGTCACAGTGAGCTCGTTGTCTGTAACGTCCAGCATAGTTTGACCCTCACACAACACCAGGGTACGGCAACCATAACCATGTGGGCAGAAGCTGGCATTGGCGTGGCCTGGCAGGGGTCAAAACACAAAAGTCAGGCTCTAACATCGACCACTCCAGCTGCATGGCTGCCCTATCCCGGGTGCAGGGCACAGTTAGAGATGTGAGGGGACACAGACAGGCCCGCAGGTGATGACATGTCATAGGCAGACAGCCCACAGGCAGCCTTTGAGACCAGGTCTCATTAGAATTATCCACAGCCATACACAAGTGACCGGTCCTCCAAGCACCTTATAAACATTGCTTCACCACTTGTGACAGAAATGGAGAGCCCCGACACAGGGGACAGGGGCTGGGATAAGACTTCTGAGAATGGAGGTAGATGAGGTGGGGTTGCCACTCACTTAGGCCACTTAGTGTGAAAACTGACAGCAGCCAGGTTATGTTCCCCTGTCACTGTGGTACACTCGGCCACTTACCCTGCCAGATGCGGCCACCATTGATGAGTACCTCCACAGGGAAGGTAGGGTGGACTGGCTGGTAGCTATGCAGCAGGAAGGCATAGCGGCCCAGGGTGGGGACCTGGGTGGTGAAGACCACAGTGCCCTGTAGGAAAAGTCTCCAGTGAGTGGCCAGAGCGGGTAACAGCCGGTCCCACTGCTGCCTGGAGCATCTGTCATGGAGGAGCCCTCACCTGTGGGTGGCGCAGCAAGGTGGGATCTGCATTGGGGTCCACAACAGTCGAGGGCTGAGGTTGTGGTCCAGCTGGGGGTGCACCTGGTGTGAGCTCCTGTGACTGGGTCAGAGGGAGGTCGGGAGGCAGCGGCAAGACCTGGCAGTCCTTGAGGATGATGGGCTGCGGTGGCTTCGGGAAGCGGGAGGGCAGACAGGCAGCGCTGGGAAGGACCAGGAGTGAGTATGCTCTCGTGGCTAACGGGCCCCTGCTTTCCACCCTAGCCACTCCCAGCACCACTACCTGCTGGGGCTGAAGGTGCCGTGACTGCTCACACAGAAGACCCGGGGCTCCACGAACTCTGTGCTGAACTCTTCCACGGGTACCAGGGTGACAGTGTGCTGTGGGCAGAAGGACGGTGTGTCGCTCTCCCACAGGAGATGCGGGGGACAGAGATGACCAGCCTCACAGTTTAGACCCCAGGAGTCCACTGAGCCTAGACTCAATCACTCCTGCCTTCTGCCTGGAGCCAGATTTGGATGCAGAATTGGTAACAGTTTCTAGGGCACCCCACTGATCTACCCTGTCTCCATCCACCCATCTCTGTCTTGAGCTCTCGAAGCCCAGAGGCCAAGAACAGGTCCAAATCTTCATAAGCCCCTTCATGAGCGGTGAGCAGGGCCACACTGTACAGCACCACACTACAGGAGCTCCCGGGACCGAGAGCTCTGTTCTCTTCACAGATATTAAAAATATGCTGGAAGAAGCTGCTCTGGGGCGAGGTCTCAAGGGGCTTTACCAGGAAGAAGTGAGCCTGCTCAGCTGTGAGCCGGATGCTGGCCTCAGAGTCCAGGTGGAAGGTGGCCACGTGATGCTGGATATCCCGAGCCAGACCGCGGCACAGGGAGCTGAGGGGAGGGATAGACTGTAAGTGGAAACCCTAGGTAGGGTCCTCCCATCAACCCTTTCCTATTGTAAGCTCACCTGTATGGACAGGGATGGAGGTTGAGCATCCCTTGCTGGGGGCCTCTCTGAGGGCTGTGCACAGCCACATCCACGTCCTGGTGTGAATCCTCACTGACATATTCCACCACCAGAGCATATCGGCCTGGCCGAGGCACTGCCATCTCAAGCTGGATGTCCACCTGGGGGAGGGCAGGGTGACCAGAGGCCCACGGGCCTCATCTTTCCCATAGCTGTCTAGGTCTAGGTCTTAGTGCCCAGGGCATCTCCAAACAGGAGGAGAGGGCCGATCCAGGCCAGGGAGGAAACAGAAGAGCTAAGTGAGTCCCTCTTCACACCCAGTGTCCACTGGGGACAGCAGAAGCCCCTCTGGGCCACGCACGCCAGCTCCATGATCCCACAACCTTGCCTTGTACCCACTCTACCATTGAGATAGGTCCCTCCTCCAGACCAAGGTCCACAGCACCCACCCATCCACAGGCCCTCAGATACCCACATCACTGCCAGCACAGGTCACCAGGGGTGGGTGTGAAGGGCTGAGCTGCTCTGTGGGGCAGGGGCGGGGCAGGCTGTTGTCATGGCGACACAGGGCCTCAGTTCCAGCCGCTGAAGGGAAGCCATCCAGGGGTAGGTGAGCATGGAGGAGGCAGCTGGAGAATAGAGATTGAGGTCAGCCCAGGTCAGCCCAGGATCCAGCTCCAACGCATCCCGTGGGACCTTACTTCTCTGTGGAGTGCAGGGCCGGGGGCCGGTAGGTACAGGCCTCGGTTACTCGATGCTGTAGGAGAGCTGCCTCATAGTAGGTACTCGGCAGTAGGACCACGTAATCCTGGGAGAGAGGGGAGGTGAGTACTAAGACCCCGAGGCCCAGGGCCTGCCCCCACCCTGCTGTGGCCCTTGCCTCACCAAGAGTACACCTTCAGCTTCCACCAGCAAAGTCCAGGTGCCAGGGTTCAGCACAAAGGGCTCCCCAAAGCCCCTCTGGGGCACAGTGACAAAGGCAGGCTCTGTGCTGGGTGGGAAGGCCACTGGCTGGCTCTGCTCTGTGCCTGGGGAGGGGAGGGTAAGATGCCCCGGCTCAATCCTCAGCCGCCCCACCCCCCAGGGTTGTACTTCCCCTGTACACCTCCATGGGGTGGAGGGCCAGGATGCAGATGACATGGGTTGGGTCCACCATGCCTTGGGAGGTGGAGTATGGGGTGGAAAAGGGATGAGTGAGCAGACTCCACTCACAGTTGGTACAGATGGAATGCCTGCCCTCTTCACGCACAGAAACCCGCCCATTCACACTCGTGGGTCCACGGTTGACATATCGGAAGACCAGCCGAAAGAGGTCAGGGGAGGTCACGTTCAGCCTGGCCACGATCCTGGGCTGTGGTGGGTGTGAGACAACAGGGTCACTTCTCTGGCCACTGCTGACCGGGGTCTCGTGATTCTTGCCAGGAGACCCAGCTGGCTCCATTTCTGAACCAAGCCGCGGAAGAGGGCAGCGTGGCTCACCTGGATAGGCGTCAGGTGTGCATAGCCTCTCCAGCTAAAGTTCTCAAACTCCAGGGGGTTGAAGCCAAAGCGTACGGCACGGCCCTCAGGAGTGGCCGCCTCCTCCAGTTCCAGCCGCATGTGGTGCAGGTCCGGCAAGTAGTGGTCTTTCTCCGGCCTGCCATGGCATAGGTGTCTGGGTGGGACAGGCACTGGCCCGCCATGGCCACCCCGATTTCCAAGGTGTAGATGAATACCCTGTGGGCTCCTGGCAAGAACACACGGGGCACCCACCGTACACGCTGCCTCCCCAACCCAGGCCCAGCCGGCGGAAGGCACTTACTCACTGCAGGTGGGGCCCTGGGTGTTAGGGCGGCATCTGCAGGCACCTGTCCTTGGTTCACAGCCCTGGCCCAGGGCACCACCGACATCACACCGGCAGCCTGTGTTGGGAAAGGACAGGATCAGAGGCTGCCTAGCTCCTAGCAGCCTCAGAGGTCCCTCTCACAGCCCTCCAGGTTAGGCCTCACAGGCAGGTTCTACCCACCCTCGGTACAGAAACTAACATCAACCCTTAGAGTCTTTTTGGGGGCCAAGGAAAGGGAACTGGGACAGATTAGTGATGCCTGCTACAAACACAGCATGGAGCAAATGGCCATGTATCAGGACAGAGCCACCCCCAGCACAGAGCTGGCCAGGGGCCAAACACCTGGCCGTCTTGCTGTTGCCAGGGTGAGACCCCTACCTCCCTGACCCACTCGTACCCCCCTGCACGTCAGTCTCCCACCGACACAGCGCAGACAAAGTCTGGAGGCAAGCGTGTGAGCACTTACTACGGCAGCCGAAGTAGTCAGCATGGTCCAGGCCGAAGAAGCCATCCTTGCAGGCTGCACAGGTCTGGCCACACACACGAGCCTTGCAGAAACACTGCCCGTTGCCCTGGAGAGGAACCAGAAGCGAGACGCGGTGGGGCGGAGTCCTAACACCCTTGACTCTCAGACCCCAACCCAATACCCAGACACCGACTCACCAACTGGCACTCAGTAACTCCACCCAGGGTGCCTCGGGGGTCACAGCTACAGCCTGGGGAGGGCAGAGTGGGAGTGAGAGCCCTGGGGGACAGAGGGCCTCGGTCCACGCCTCGGTCTACCCTTCAAACCCTTAACCATCCTTCTAGGGCAGACTCACGAGTGCAGCCTTCAGGGTTGCTGGGGCTCAGGTTCCAGTACCCAGGTTTACAACGGTCGCAGCTTGGCCCCTCCACGTGAGCTCGGCATGTACAGGGAGCCTGTGCCCAAGAGAGGATAAAACTGTGGGACACAGTGGAGGTCCTTTGCAAAAAGCCCTGAGTCCTGTCAAGGGACAGAAGAGGGCCAAAGCCCCTCACCTGGCCTTGCCCCAGGCTTGGCAGCCACCCAGGATGAAATGAAGGACCAGCCGAGAGAGCAAATGGGCCCTGAAGTTCCACAGCAAACAAGCAGTGGTCAGGAAGCCGGGGCTCTCTGGGCTTCACACCTTTAGCCTGGGCTGGGTCCCCTGCCTAATCCCACACCAAGGACTCCTATGCTCACCTCAGGAAGGGCAGGATTGGCCGGGGCCAGACCAGCAGGATGACAAGAGCCAGCTAGGGAGAGACAAACCAAGCTTTGATCAGGCCTCAGTGACCGACCCCAAGGTCAGTGACTTCCCAGCCCCAATTAGAACCCAAGTCCCTCCCTGTAGTTGTAAACAGAAAAGAAAACATAAACCCCCTGTTCCAGCTGCCATGGCAAGGGCACACATGTAACATGCACACAGAGCAATCACACAAATAGCTGCATGAACATTCACAAAGCATGGGAACATGCATAGCACATGGAAACATCATACATCCACACAGCTATGAACAACCTTAAAAAACGATAGCACATGGACACAGCTACAGAACACAGTCCCTGGACGTACACACAGTGGACCCCCATGAACAGTGCACAGATCACACACACAGGGCTGCCCTCTGCTGCACCGCCCCGGCTCACCTTCGCAGTAGGGGAAGTTATAGGCACCTGGCACACACATATCACAACGTAGTCCAGTCACTCGGGGCCGGCAGCTACACTGCCCCGTTGTAGGGTCACAGGTTGTATGCCAGGAACCATCGGCAGAGCAGTGGCAGGCTGTGAGGTGAAGTCAGTGGGTACAAGGTAGGGCTGAGAACTACCCGCCTCCCATTCTCCCAGTGAACTCACGGACGCAGCTGGGGAAGCCATGGAAGCCGGGGCTGCACTCCCGGCAAGTGGGGCCTGTGTAGCCAAGACGGCAGCGGCACGAGCCACCCGCTCCACAGTGTTGATCCAGGGACCCCCGAGGGTCACAGGCACAAGCTGTGGGCAGAGGGTGGGGATGGGGGGGGGTCAGACCCTCATCCTGTGGGGATGGCCTGACCCCTTCTTGCCCTAATTCTCTGCTCACCATGACAGTCAGGGTAACCGTGGTAGCCTGGGAGGCAGCGGTCACAGTGAGGGCCATCAAACCCAGGTCGGCACTGGCAATGGCCAGCCTCATCACAGCCTTCAGGCAGGGTCCCTGCAGGGCTGCATCCACACACTGCAGAGTGAGATGAGTTACTGGGGATCCTGACAGGGCAGGTTGTCCCTCGGGCACCCCAACCGCCTATGCCCACACGAAGGGACACCGCTCACGCTGGCAGAGAGGGAAGTGGAAGTAGCCAAGGGCGCAGTGATCACATCTGTCCCCCTCAAAGCCTGGGCGGCAGGTGCACTGGCCTGACTCTGGGTCACAGAGGCCACTGGCCACCCCAGGGCTAGAACACTGGCATGCTGCAAAGAGAGGACCAACTGTCAGCCAGTGCTTGGCTGCTGCACGGCACCTCCTGAGCGGATAAGGAGGGGACTGCACTCACACTGGCAGCTTGGGCCATAGAACCCGGGTGCGCAGAGCTCACAGTGGGTGCCCTGGAAGTTGGGTTTGCACACACAGCGTCCCAACCGCGGGTCCTTCCGGCAGGCATTGCCCTGGGTCCCCGCGGCGTTGCAGTCACAGTCTAGGAGGCAGGTGGGAACAGGAGGCTCAGACGTGGACAGAACCCAACCCTCCCCCTGAAAAACAGCTTCTCCACAAAGTCACATTCTTCCACATTTACATAGCACAAATTAGAATCTAAAAAAAGTAAAATTCCCAAAGTTGGTACTTTAGGAAAACGAACTGCAAAATGAAAACATCTGGTTGGATGTGATAGCGCAGGCCTTTAATCCCAGCACTCAGGAGGCAGAGGCAGGCGGATCTCTGTGAGTTCGAGGCCAGTCTGGTCTTACAGAGCAAGTTTCAGGACAGCCAGGGCTACAGAGAAACCCTGCCTCCAAACCCCAACCCCCAAAACCAGAAACACTGAGAAGGGGGCATCTGTCTGCACTAGGAGAGAGGTCTCAAGCCAACAGAAGACTCTACTACTGTGCAGGTTGGCAACGGTCCAGCCAGCAGCTGTACACAGCCAGTGCACCAGTATGCTGTCGTATGTTAGGAAAGCAACTTGGCACCTGGGCAAAAGGCCACCAAATATGCAAGTTTGGTAAGCCAGAGAGAGCCTTCTGACTTCTAGGAAAACACCCTGTGGAGACAAGACCATGAAAAGTCACTGCTGTCTGGGTGTTTGTCGTAGCGTCTTTTGGAAGGAGGGCAGGGTGGTCAGTTAATTCAATGCTCCATCTGTCTGTATAACGGGCTGTGAAAGGACATGTTTATGGGATTGCGGTGGGAGAAGACACAATCCCTAAACAGCGTGCGTGGTTCACTACAGTGTTTATAAGAATGAGTGCACACAGACACAGAGTTCAGGGTGCATGGAGAGGGTTATTTGCCTTTTGTGTTTGCCAAGGTGCTGGCGATGGAACCCAGGGCTTTGTGAAAGCTAGGCAGGCTGCACCACTGAACGACGGCTGTAGCCCCAAGAGGGCTGTTCCCAAGCACTGAGCTTCTGGAAGGGTTTTCAGTGTGACTGTACATTATTTTAAAAAATAAATAAAAATTCAGGGCTGAAGGTATGGATCAGCAGTTAGGAGCACTAGCTGCTCTTGCAGAGGACTGGGTCCCAGCACCCACATGGTGCTTCAGAACTGTAACTCTAGGACCAGGCAGTCCAACACCTTTTTTTCTGCCTCTATGGGCACCAGGCATGCACATGGTGCATAGACATACATGTAAAACACACACACACACAAAGTAAAAATTAATTTTAAAACTGAATAGACTAAATGAAAGGTGACTAAGATTAAAAAACAAAAACAAACAAACAAAAACAAAACAAAAAAACAAACAAAAAAACCTGGTCCTTTGTGCACACTTCTTCCTATAGTACATAGGTCCTGGTGACCTCAGGGTACTTACTCACAATCTGTCCAGCAGGCAACACTTGTTCTCTGGTGTCATTGTAGGGAAATGAGGATACAGCTGAGGGGTAAATACACATGTCAACCAGGTCTGCTGGACAAGCTCTCTGGCTCCAGAACCACAGACTACCCCAGGGCTCTGGGTCCTCCACCCTAACTCAGCCCTGAGATCCCCTCAGGCCGCAACCCTGGGCCTTTCCATCAACCCCCAACCCCAACGCCTAGCTGGTCCTCACGGTAGCAGTGTGGGAAACTGGTGTAGCCCTCAGCACAGGCGGCACACTGCTCTCCTGTGAAGTTGGGCCTGCAGTAACAGCGGCCTGTTAAATCTTCACACGTCCCATCCGTGAAGTCTGACTCACAGTCACAGCCTACGGAACAGTCAGAGGTAAAGTCATGGAATGATGGGGAGTTATGGCCTCACTTCCTGGGGTGGGGAGGTCTGGGAGACAAAGACTCTCCCACCCTCAAACTCACAGCCTCCACGGCTTAGGGACGCAGCTGTACTCACGGCGACAGACATGAGGTGAGTCCAGGGGCTGGTCAGGGGCACGGTAGAAGCCAGGCAGGCAGCGCTCACAGTTGATGCCCGTGGTGTGGTGCTGGGGATACAGGGAACACAGAGCTCGCCAAGTCCAGGCATGTCCCCATTCCCATCACACAGGCCCACAAACACATGGCCAGCTCTTGCTTGCCTAGCCTACCTGGCAATCGAGGCAGACGCCCCCACCCTGGTACACATTGTCCTGGTTCTGGCTGGCATTACGTCGGTCTACCTCAGGGTCATAGTAACAGTCGTAGGCATGGCCATGGCAGTTGCAGGCTGTAGAATCAGGGCCAATAGTTAGCATGTCCTCTGTGTCCCTGGAACTCCCAGACATAGTCCATGAGCCATGGGTGCTGGCAGTGCACACATGCACAGGATACTCACACTGGCATTCATTGGCGCTATCGGTGGTAGCAGGCTTCCACGGCTGCTGGTTGAAGCCTGGACAGCATCGGTCACAAGAGCCTCCACAGGTATTGTGTTGGCAGGCACACTGCAGCCTACAAAGGGACACAGAGGAGTTAGGACCCAGCCGAGAGACAGAGGGCTAGAGACGAGGTGGGTGGCATGTGCTTGGGCATCACGGGCTTGCTGTGTGGGCACAGGCTCCCCTCCCCACAGTTCCCAGCTGTCACGCACTAAGCTCTGGTCCAGACTCTCTGCTCCCACCCCAGTGGCTCTGCACACCGCTTGAGCCTCAGAGAATGGGCACAGGAGAAAGAAAGGAGACAGGGAGACTCCCTGTGTCAGCAGACAAGAGGGGATCTCGGGAATAGCCTGATGTGGAGGGCTGGACAAGGGTGTGTGTTGATGGTGGGGTAGGGCCTAGGAGCTTTAGCTCAGGTGGAACCTTGGCCCTTCCAACACTGCCTGGCCCCAAAACCCTGATCCAGTTCTAAGGGAGGGACACATTGGTTCCCCACGGAGACCTGGATCGCACTCAGCCTGTGAAATCCTCATGTCAGCCAGACACCCCCATATATCTAGGGCATCTCCCCAGGGGCAAGTGGCCAAGAACTACTTCCTCTTTCCAAAGGCTGGAAGCTTGCCTGCTGTCCCAGTGGGCATTGGGACAGCTGGTTGGAGATGAGGACAAGGCTGGAACATCTGCTATGTATAAACCAACACCTCCTTGCATTCTACTAACGTGTGGCAGGGTCACAGCCAACCCACTCCAAGGGGCAGCATGTGCATTTCCTGAGCAAAAAGTCAGAAGCCTATCTGTGCATACCAGAAATTCAGAGGCTCAAGTCATCAAGCTCTACTCCCATTGATCTCCAACAGGGGCCCCCGGGCCTTGGGAGTCAATCCTGCTGCCCTCCCATGCCAAAGGCAAAGCCTCATCCTCAGCAGAGGAGGAAGGAATGAAGTACCTGTTGGTACAGATAAGGAGGCTATGTAGAAACCCCGCAGAGGGAGAGCCAAAGGTCTGCAGTGCGTGTCTCACTGCATTTTGAGTGACCTGCATGGTTAAGGCACCCTGAGCTAATAGGGGAAGACACAGGCTTCAAGGGGTGTAAGGTTGGCCAAGGGGTAAAATCCCTGCAGATGCACCCTGAGGGCTTCTCCCTAGTCACAGACTGAGCCCGAGGAAGCCTTGCAAAGAACAACAAAATGGGGGCAGGAGATGCCACACAGCAGATTTGAGCCCAAGAACTTTAATGGAACAATCTGGTAGATGCTGCGAAAGACGGTTTCAGATAACTATAAACAAAGGAATCTAAAAATAGGCAGATGTAAAAAAAAAAAATGACTGGTTAGAACTTCTAGAATTGAAAAAATGCAATTATGAAATTTTAAAAACCCAAGCCAAGCGCCAAGACTGGAGCTGGAGAGATGGCTCTGTGCTGAAGAGCACTGGATGCTCTTCCAAGCCCAGGACTCGATTCCTAGTACCCACATTACGGGTCACAACCATCTGTAACTCCAGTTCCAGGGGATCCGACACCCTCTCCTGGGCTCCTCAAATACAAGGTACACGTGTGGTTCACATACATACATGTGGGCAAAACATTCATACATAGAAAATTCTAAAAATGTTTTTAAAGGAAAAATAAAGTTTCTCAAAGGAATAGACAAACAACAGAACTGTCACAGCCAACGGGAGACACTCTGAGGGGAACTGAGGAAGCTACTGGGAAGGCAGCTGAGGAGACAAATGGAAGACGTGAGCTGTTCTCAGACAGGAAGCAGTATGTTGTTCCCACCCTCATCTGGTGGGAACATAGGGAAGGGCAGGAGGGCAGCGGCCACCCAGTCTGCAAAGGTACATGCGTTCTTAGATCTCAGAACCAGAGAGCAGAGGCCCAAGAGACACCCTCCACATACACCTCCACACCTCCAACTAGACCCACAGGGCACACAGAGGTCATGAAAGCATGGGAAGAACTCCAGCAGTAACAGCCAAGGGACCCTGGACCCTGAGGAGTACCCAATGCTGGCCCAGGTAAAGAACTCCCTACAAAGGTCTGAAGGCAGTCAGCAAGCAAGCAAAACCTGCCATACTCCAGTTAGCAACCATTTTCTTTTTTTGGGGGGGGAGGGAGGGGTTTGAAGCAGGGTTTCTCTGTATAACCTTGGCTGTCCTGGAACTCTCTCTATAGACCAGGCTGGCCTTGAACTCATAGAGATCTGCCTGCCTCTGCCTCCCGAGTGCTGGGATTAAAGATGTGTGCCGCCACCACCACTGGCCAAGCAAACATCTTCTGAAGATGACTGATAGTCACCTACTAAGAGGCCGAGATGTGCACTCCGGGAAAAAAAGGCAACAGAGTTCCAGGAAGGCAAGGGGCCATGAGAACAAGGGTCTGGTAACAAAAAGGGGTGACCCAGACACAAGAGAGAACAAATGTCCCAGGTGGGAATAATGTGGGGCTGAGGACCAGGTCACCTGGGGAGGTACCAGGGAATCTCTGCACATCCAGAACTGACTGAACCAGGCAAACCTGTGACAAAGTACAGGCTACCAGGCCCTGTGGGACAGCCTATAATCACAGCTACTCTGGAGGCTGAGGCAGGGAGACTGAAGTCTGCCCCGACTACAGAGTTAGTTCAAGACAAGCCTGTGAAAGCAAAAAGCAGAGTGCTGAGATGAAGCGAAATGGTACAGCGTTTGCTCAGCATGCACAAGACTTAAGCAGGGGACAACATTGGAGGGACAGGAGGAGGGAGTTAGGAAAATGGGCAGAGAAGACCCAGCCGGGGGAGCAGACCACCTCCCCACTCTGGAGATGAGTGATGAATGGGTGTAGAAAGAATGCACTGGCTGGTTTGAGAACCTGGGCTGTGATGGAGCTGTGTGGTAATATTTTGGGGAAGTCTGGCTCTGGGGAAAATGCCAGCATCCACCATTCCTCATGCCCTGAAGGGAGGGCTGGCCTCAGCTCAGGCCCGAGCACGTGAGACAGATACAATGGTGAACTTCTCCCAGCAGGTAAGTACAGACCCAGAGCCAGAGGCACTGCTAATTGCCCTGGGAAATTAAATGCCACATGGGAGTACTGCTCCCTACGGCTGGGAAAGGATGGAGCCTGTTAGAAAACCAAATTAGCCTTAGAGGAAATGGTGCCTCCCCAGAAGACCAAGAAGGCACCTGCCTGGGTTCTTCAGCTCTTCAGCTCGGGACACCACGCTTAAGGCCCATCAGCCACCTCTGGCCCTAACTACGTGAGCACTGGGCACATGAGATGGTGAACACTTGCTGCTCCTGTCCTTGACCTTGGCCCTTGCCCCCTTAGTGGGGTAAAAGTCAAGGGTAAAAGCAGCAGAGTCTTTGTCCTGGGGGAGCAGGTTTGGGCTGCCTAGACAAATGGTACACATCCATCTAGGGATGCAGATGTGTGGTGAGGGGTCACGTCTATCATTGATGCCCATCCCAAATGCCCTGGGTCTAGAACCCCACCTCTGTGGAATTCAGGGCAAATTGCCACCCAAGACCAGGACACCCTGAGAGGTTCACATGGCACTGCCTCTTCTGACAGGAAAATGGAGACCCGGAGTAGCAGCCGGTGCAGGTCCATTGGGAAGCCAGAGCTGTGACAGGCAGGTAGGTAGATGAGGCTAGACAGAGAGCCCAAAGTCTCACCTGAAAGGATCCGAGGGGTCCTTAGCGTCACAGACATCTGCGTGGCCATGACAGACACAGCGACCGCCAATGCTGATGTCTTTGATGCTGTAATAGTACTGCAGCGGAGACCATGAATGTCATCACCTCGACAGGGCCTAGTCACAGGCATGCCACCCGCACCCACCCACTCTCCAGAGCCTCCACAAGGAACGAGTCCTGCCACCCTCCCTTCAGCTCTCACCACACCCACAGGCTCACCCGGCGGGTGACCGTGGGGTCCCGCAGCGCCTTGCCCATAAGGTGGCCCAGTAGTGTGTTGGTTCTCAGGAACCGCAATCGGATGTTGGTGGCCTTGGTGAAGTCTCGAAGTAGAGGTGAATAAGAGAAGTTCATGGCCCCAGGGCGCCCATTCACCAAGGACACTACAATCTGTGGATGGCATGGCAGGTGAGGCCAAGCGGCCACAGGGACCCGCCACCCCAGGCAAGCATAGCTGTGCACCCCACCTCGCCATTCTCCAGAGGCACTATTCGAGAGTACTCTGTGGTGCAGATGACATCGTCATCCTGTGTGATGCGCTCCAGCGTCCGAGGTCCAAATCGCTCCAAACAATCCCTCTTGGAGGCTACAGGAAATGGATGAGAAGGTGAGGCCACTAGAAGTATACCCACCCTGGATCCCAGCCTAGTACCCTGTGCTCCCCGAATTCTCTGAAACAGGACTGCTGTTCCATGTTCTACTGGCCAGCAGGAGTTATTGAGGAGAGAGCAAAACCCTGACTCAAGGCAGAGTCCTTGCCCCAGGCAGCCAAGCCAGGCTGGACTGCAGATCCTTCTGTAGCCCATTCCCAGGCCTCTCCCTGGGCCGTGCCAGAGAACAAACATTCCTTAACTTCTTCCCGGGCAGTCTTCAGCCACCTCTCTCCCACTCTCAGCCAGGGAGTTTTGGGGGGACGTGTCACCAGGCAGACCCAATCAGAGCATCCCCACCCTGCCAACATGATCGGTCAGGGTGGCATGTGGCCAGGACAGCCAAGGACTCCAGCTTTCTTCTGCCACAGGCAGTAAAGCTGACAGGAAATAGGCCCACAGCTGCCAGGGCTGCTTTGTTACCATGGGAGCTGCCTGAGCAGAAGGCCATCTAGAGGGACAATAAGATGGCCCAAAGATTCCTGGTATACCAGCCATGGCCGGTGCTGGAAGTCAATAAGCTCCCGTGGACCCCGAGGTGGCGCTGGCGGTAATGAACCAAAAGAGGCCGTCACATGGGCAAGGCCTGGCATCAGAGGCCCTGAGGCAACTACAGCCCCATTGCGGACTCCCCAGTCTTGCAGCTCAGGACACTCACAGGCAAAGAACTGCCACGGCTGATAAGTGTGGCCCAAGTCTGTGGACCGCTCCAGCACCCAGAGGTCAGGCCGAGGTGAGTTGGCAAACTTGATGAGCACATAGGCCACGTGGAACACCTGCAGGGACAAAGAGTGTGATGTTAGGTGCTGGGCCCCTCCCTGTACCTTCCTACCCTCTCAGGTGTGAGGTAGAGCGGGTGATGCAGGGGCAACATGTCTGTGAGGAATCCTTCAGGTCTGAATATGGATTGTCTTCTCCAGGGTCATGTTTTGAATGCTGGAAGTGTGGAACCTTTAGGAGGAAGTGGGTCACTAGGAGCCTAGACGACATAGTTCCTCCTGTCTGCTGTGACTTGAACAGCCTTTGCCGGCATGCTCCTGTCACCATGAACCGAGTTGTTCTACCACAGCCTCCCTGCCAGGATACACTGAGACCATAAGCCAAAATAAACCTTTGCTTCTTTGTTTCCATTAGGTGCTGCAAGCACAGCAAAGCAAAAGTAACAGAGAAATTTGACACCAAAGGAGCAGGGACACTGCTGTCACTGAACCTAACCCCATGGTTCTCAGGCCTTTGGAACTGGTTCGAAGGAGGAATGCGGATGATGTGGGAAATGTAGATTAGAAAAGTCTAGAAGCTGGAAGAGGAGCTTAATGGGCCATGCTGATTAAGTGTGAAAGACCAGGACCCCAGGAGAAATATGGACGATGAGGCCAGCAAGGAGATGACTCTGTGGATAAAAAGCTCTTCCTACTCAACAACCTGAGTTTCATCCCCAGAACCTGACATAGAGGTGGAAGGAGGGGACCGGCCCCACACTGTGTGTGGCATGGCACGCATGTCTACACACACACACACACACACACACACACACACACACACACACACGCATACACACACACACATGCACACACACACACACATGCATACAGAGAGACACACACATGCACACACACGCACACGCACGCACGCACGCACACACGCATGTACACACACACACACACACACACGCACGCACGCATGCACGCACGCACACACGCATATACACATTATAATAGGACATAATAACACACAACAATAGCAACATAATAAAGAAATGTGGACAGGGGCTGGAGAGATGGCTTAGCCATCAAGAGCATTAGCTTCTCTTCCAGAGAATCTAGTTTTGATTCCCGGCACACACATGGTAGAGTCAAGTTTGTAACTCTAGTCCCAAGGGATTGTAGATTTGCTGGGGTGCAGAATACAAGAGTTATGGGGTCATGGAGGCTTCTACCAAGATTTCCAAGAAAAGCCTGTCAGGAAACATGATGTGTAAAAGTCAGGTTCCAAAAGAAGCCTAAGCTACAAAAACTCAAATATTAGTAATGCTGGGAACTTGGAAGAACTGCAAAGAAAAGCTATGGGCACCAAGTGGCACTGACCCCAGAGAAGCCGTGTGGCCAACAAACACAAACCATTTGGATGGAGCTACCTGCCTGGTAGAGCTCACACGATGCCACCACGTGCCTTAAATGTTGAGCATACAGGATTTAATGCTTGTCCTTTTGCTTGGTCCCTTTCCTTCCTTTTAGAATGGCAATGTCACAGGACACAGTGATGCCAGCACTTGGGAGGTAGGGAGGGACAGGCGGATACTGTGGATATCGCTCTATATAAATAAAATGCTGACTGGCCAGTAGCCAGGCAGGAAGTATAGGCGGGACAAGCAGAGAAGAGAATTCTGGGAACAGGAAGGCTGAGTTAGGAGACGCTGCCAGCAGCCGCCATGAGTACTAACATTAAGATATTGGTAAGCCATGAGCCATGTGGCAAAGTATAGATTTATAGAAATGGGTTAATTTAAGATGTAAGAACTAGATAGCTAGAAGCCTGAGCCATTAGGCCAAACAGTTTAAATAATATAAGAGTCCGTGTGTTTATTTTATAAGTGGGCTGCGGGACTGCCGGGGCTTGGCGGGACCCGGAGAGAAACTCTACAGCTACAGGCGGATCTCTGTGAATTCAAGACCAGCTTGGTCTACAGAGTGAGCTCCAGGACAGTCAGGGCTACATAGTGAGACCTTGTCTCAAAACAAACAAACAAAAAAAACCCAAAATAAATAAATTTAAAAGAGGAATGGTGCTGGGCAGTGGTGGTGCACACCTTTAATCCCAGAACTCAGGAGACAGAGCCATGTGGACCTCTTTGAGTTCAAGGCCAGCCTGGTCTACAGAGCAAGGACAGGCACTAAAACTACACGGAGAAACCCTGTCTTGAAAACCAAAATAGGGCTGGAGAGATGGCTCAGAGGTTAAGAGCACCGACTGCTCTTCCAGAGGTCCTGAGTTCAATCCCCAGCAACCACATGGTGGCTCACAATCATCTGTAATGAGATCTGG